GCCTGGGCGGTGAGTCAGCTGAAAGTCGAATCGGGATAATCATAGTGTTGAAGGGTAACTTGGCACAGTTGATGTTGCACACTTATTGCAGCTAAGGCTGTAGACAATAGAGTGTACCCCCGTCAGAAACACTGCTGTTGCAGTCTATGTACAAGGGTAGTGTTGTACTATTGACCTTGCAGACTCCTCAATACTCCAATAGACACAAGTAGTGAATATTGATTTGGTTCCTTCTAACTGTAGTAGGAATACAGGTCTGTTTGGTCTTGTATGTACTAGAAACGCATGAGGCGTGATAATAGGTGTCCACAATTGTGCGCTCCTATAAGAAATGGAAAGGACTCTGAAAAATGAAGAAATGAAAGTGTAAGTAATGTTATAAGTAAAGTAGTGAATACAGTAGTTAGCTTATAAGTAATGTATGTACTTTATATGTAAACTAACTATGTAGGAAGTGTTCTATCACTACAATTAACACTAATCCCTGTGCTATGTTGACCACGATGAGATTTTGTCGAATCTCTGGGTTGAGGCCACTGTGAAAGCGTTCTCGTAGGTCGATATCTGAGAGCCCAGTTCAATCACCGATGTCCTTGAAGTTCTGTGCAAATTCTGCTACCATTTGACCTTTTGCTTGCCTGAGATGCTGGATTGCATTCCGGGCTTCCATGCCTGCGTCAATGGATTTGAATCGGAGAGTGAAGGCGGTTTTAAAGTCTTCCCATTGTCCATTAAATGGTTGTTGGTGATGACTGAATTCCAAGAGGTATGGGGTGGCCCAATCAGCAGCCTTTCCTGAGAAGAATCCTAGGGCCACCTTAATCAGTTTCCCTTCGTTGTCCTTCAAATCCAGTTGTTCCACTGCCCAGCTTTGATACTGTCATGAAGTGAGCCACCCCTATCATTTTCCTTTCTTTATGATACACCATCCAAGCTCTCCTACCTACAATAATCATTCCGGAACCTTCCATTCCATTCTATCAGTTCCGTTCCATTCCTTGTGCCTGAGCTATACAGTATTACATCATAATTCCCACACTCCGCCTTGTATATATAAGCCAGCCCCCACAGCCTGGTCCCTTATCTTGACCTCTTTGTCATTGGGACCAGGTATGTCTTTTACCTACTTACTTGTATTTATTATCAATATAACTTTGTCATTGGGACCAGTATCTGCCCGCTTCCGCTCCACTCCGCCACCGTCGTCACCTCTTTGTGACAGATACTGGTCAATGAAGCGATGGGCTTCCACACTACTCGAGCCTTTGAAGAGCTCGGGTTTATTCATGCTTGACTTGGCTGCAGCTCTGTGAAGGTTGGCTGTGAGCTGAGTCACCTGCTCGATGAGCTGTGCCATGAGCTGATTTGTGTTGACTTCGGAGGTCGACATAATGGATGATGGTGCAGTTGGAGTAGGGATAAGGATGGGTGTGATCACAGTACCATTGGAAAGGTTCTCTTCTTCACTGATGGAGTTGGCAGCAGCGTTTGGACAGGGTTGAGAACTGCAATCAGCCCAGGAGTTGCTTTTGCTGCGGTGGATGTGGGTTTGGTCTTTAGTATCAAAAGTGTGCGGGTAGGCAGAGCAGTCAATAGCTTGGGCGGGCAGGCTTGGTGCGGCGGTGTTTGTAGACGTGGTGAAAGCAGAGCCTGCAAGGATAACCTAATCGGTAGGCTATCGGTGCAGTAAGGGATCTTGACCTAATGTCACAAAGAGGCGACGACGGTGGCACAGTGGAGCAGAGACTTAGACGGAAACAGGCAGCTGGTCCCAGCGACAAAGTTATATTGATAATAAATACAAGTAAGTAAGTAAAAGACATACCTAGTCCCAATGACAAAGAGGTCAAGATAAGGGACCAGGTTGTGGGGGCTGGCTTATATATACAAGGTGGAGTGTGGGAACTATGAGGTAATACTGTATAGCTCAGGCACAAGGAATGGAACGGAACTAATAGAACAGAATGGAAGGTTCCGGAATGATTATTATAGGTAGGTGTGTTTGGGTGGTGTATTGTAAGGAAAGGAAAATAATAGGAGGTGGCTCACTTCATGACAACACTGCTGTTTTACTTGCCATATATTTCAAATCAGTAGATGTGGGTATAGCCTCTTTGGCCTTCTGTATATGTTCTTCTACATTGGTGACAATTTGAGGCACTGTGAAAATGTTTAGGTTTGGTCATCCCGGGAACAGATTGAGAAATGAGATAGCAGCTCATTTGATTTGATGAGCCATGGCATAGTCTCAGTGTCACGCCAAATGACCTCTCCACTTTTTGACCATTTGTTGTAGGCTCAAAACAGGACCAATGGCTAGGAAAGCTGAGGTCAAGTCTCTTGAGAACCTCTTCAAACTTTGTCTATACTTTGGCCCCTCTTGGATCTTGGAATACCATATGCTGCTGTTTTTAGCGATTTGACTATAATCATGTTCTCAAGTCTAACCGTATTTCTTCATTTATCTGCTTATCCCTTGCAAAAATCCCACTTTGACTACATAGTGCACCGAACTGATATTAGATTGATATGTATATAGCCTCCTGACTAGGGAGCTTCACTCAAATGCTCGAGATCAAGCGTTTCAGAGAAATCGTAACTACTCTGCGTACGGAAGATCCGTGACAACCATAGTATGGTACCGGAAAGGTGCCATTAAGGCATCGTCCGCGGTGTATCCTATCCTCTGAAGCTTGAAACCACCATGCCAAAGATCATCAAGAAATCCCTGTGGATCGTACATTTCCTTCACTCGTATCACCTTCTGCAGTGCTTCGTCGTTGATAGACCGCACCATCACAGACTCTGATCCTGATGCATAGTTCATGTAGATGAATGGGTTGAATAAACCTCGCTGTTTGGCCTCGTGCTCAGCCCACCTCAGTAACGCCTCAGCATTAGAGTTCATGATATCGTCGTCAGATGGGTCCAACCAGTCCGTCGTAATCAACATCACTAATAATAGTCTTATGGTTAGTTAGGTGAACGCTCAAGATTCTGGAGAACCAACCCCAGAGATCGCCATCGCTTTCCTTCAAACAAGTCGGATTTCCTCCGTTTTCAGCAGCGGCGGAAGCCATCCTAGCAGGTATAGGTTGCACCGAAACCGCCCAATGAACTCCAGCATGGTCATGATATGGTTCAAAAAGTTCTATCCCTTCGGCATAAATATCAAGGTGGAACTGTGCATTGGCTTTGTAAGTCATCGAAAGCCAGCGACTACGTCCGTGTTTGCCTGGATCCGCATCTTGGAACTCTTCAGTTATATCAACGAGGGTTTTGATTCCCATCGTATCTATGAGTGGCGTCAACGATTCGAATTCGGACCAGAGTGCAGGGTATGGCTTTGGCTTCAGATATGTCTGAAGCGTCCAAATTATGTAGTCTTTCGCCTCAGGGTTCCAGGCTAGACTCAGACCAAAGAACCCTTTGGGATCTTCAGCCAGCTTCTCGGTGAATGTAACAAGACGCTCGAGAAGAATCGGCGCGTCCTTGATCGCAAAAAACTGGGATCCACCCCAAACCGGTCCTTGGGGGAAAGTGAGCATGTCGAATCGCGTTACGATGCCAAAGTTTGTGCTGCCCAACTTTAAGGCCCAATATAAGTCGGAATGTTGGTTTTGGCTGGCGCTGATGACGGTGCCATTTACGAGTACAACTTCATAGTTGACAATATTATCGCTTCCAAATCCATGTTCCGCGGACAAGAAACCTATTCCTCCTAACGATAGTTAAGCCAGAACAATTAGACCAAAATAACACCGTCTCAAGTTCTCATTATTTTTGCTCACCTCCGAGGAGAAACCCTCCAACTCCAACGTCGCCGACTCTTTTCAAACGAAGCAGCATTTGCTTAATTGGGTTTCATATTAATGTTTATCAGTACTTACCGACCCCCAACAGTAGTGAGGTTCTCCGGCTGTAGTACAGCGTACACATCTCGCCACCTTGATCCTGCTCCAAACGATATTATAGACCTGTCCTGGGAAAGCGTTGGGACATCTTTAACTCGTTGCAGGTCGATGGTAAAGCCTTCTGAGCCAATATTTGACGCGCCGGACCATGCCATATGTCCTCCTGCGCGAACTGCGAAATGACATTTGTGCATGCTGGAAAACTTGAGTATGCGTGAGACGTCAGAAGTGCTGTTTGGTGAGACTCGGCATGTTGGTGCCATCGCGGCCTGTTCACCAGAGTAATACGAAGATTGCTGAACGAGATAAGGATCACTAGATGGCCAAAAGACTTGTCCGGGGAGGAGGGAACTCAGGGCATTGCACTTGAAATATGAAGGGATGGGATTAGTTTCGTGTAGTTAAGTGCGTTCAGGAAATTATCGAAACGTACACATGTTCTCGCCTCATAACTATTTTCATGAGTAGCAAAGCCTGCCTGTCCAGCGAAGGCAAAATTCGAGAAGAGACCTACAGCCAAAAAAGAAAGGAGCATTGTCGACAAATGAAAGACGGCTGCTTGAAGGGGTTCTTGAACTTACAGTGTTAAACCCATTCGTTCTAAACCTACTCGTGTTTTTAACCTGACGACTTTTAGAAATACTAGATTAATCGGACATTGATTTCTAGAAATTTAAGTCTGTATTGCCGAAAACCATTCTAGAATATGTCTAATCTTTTCATAACTGAACAACTTATTTTACTGTAGTTTCTGTTATATAGGTATGTATAGCTAATGTATTAGGAAGAGGAAGAGGATGCTGAGTGCATGTTTTGGAATGGAAGCACTGATCCTCTACTTCTACCATCACCATCTATCTAAGAATCTCTTCCGCAAGTCGGAGCTGAGCGAACTTTGAAAATCGTTTCCTTTTTGAGAGTTGAGCTCGCGGTGCTTTGATATGCGCGTCCGCCTCGCCCTTGGTTATTTCGGGATGAAAAAATAATCTCGCCTCGCCTTTCCTCGCAGCAGCACTAAATCTAATGTAGAACATTGTATCTGGCGAAGGGTTGAGTGCACACAGTAACAACAAAATTGAATACATCGGGCCTGACCGGGAATTGAACCCGGGACCTCGTCGAAAGGCAAACACCCTAACAACGAATCATACTCCTAGACCATCAGGCCAGTGCATTAAAATAATTCAGGTCTAGAATTCAATCGTGCTCAATGGCCGTCTACGGCGTCATTTACAAAGTCGTGTCAAGACTTCTACTACCTCATGAGCATCCTCATAACACTCTTGCTCTACATTCTGCTTCCATGATTGTTCATATCTTAGAAAATTCAAGGCCTCTATCTTGTTCTTGAGCCGTATGTGGTATCCTTCAGGTGTGCTTGAAAAACAGAACATTGAATCATATTCGATCTCTGTTGCAACCAAAGCAATGAGATGGGCACTTGTATCCAGAGGCAGTCAGCATCAGCGGTAAGGTATATACAGTAACATACCGCTTGTCGATGTTTGGAGGTTTTTTGAGTCGACCCCAAAGCTCTTCACGTCCCAAAAACACGCGATGTATGGTTTGCCGTATAGAGTCAACGGCATCGCGACGCATCGCAACCTATGCATGCATGTTTCGGCCTAAGAAACACTGCGACTATTGATTACTAACCGGAACTTTGCCAGAGCTTGGGTCCTCAATCTCGATATAGATATCTGGCAACACCAGCTCAGGAATCGCTGGAAAAGGGATGCTCGGTGTGAGGATTGTACAACAATGAATGAAGCGAGACAGCTCACAGTCTGACTTGGACGGAATGTCCTGTGAGTCTGCAAGCACAGTTCCGTCTAGCACTTCATCACCTGTTTCAAGTTCCAGTGAGTCCAAGTGTGCTTGGGGCTTTTTTGCGTCAGTCGATGAAGCTCTGGAATCATATTGACAATGTGCAGACAAGCGTGAAGACGATGAAAATTCCACGTTTTTAAATGATCTTTCTTTCATTGTAGGGGCCTTGAAGGGTTTCAACAAAGTAGCCGCAGAGCTGTATGGTCTAGTTACTATGGCATAAAGTGCACCTTAGCCGCCTAAGCATTCCATATTGGTAATTGCACCACTAACCTAGCGGCTTGCCATATTCAATTATTTTCAGCTTCTTGACAGTATTCGAACCACTGAGCCGATAATCCACGGCACCAGCGACGCGTTTACTATTTTCGTTGAGGAACGTAGAGTGTGTAACGTTCACATCATTCACGGAAGGAGTGGGTACAGTGCGGAATTCGAGCGGCGCTTTACCGAGCTTTTCTTTCCGTCGCCTGGTCTTTTTAGGATATTTACATACCTGAATATACACACATATATCGTTCAATAATTTTTTCTTGAAATATCCAGTGACTTACATCGCACATCATGCCGCAATACTCTTTAACAATTTCTGGATTTTTGTCATCAATTTCTTCACCGAAGTAGCGGCATATCGACTAGCGGACACGATGTTGTTACAGCCGACTGAGTGGACATCAACATCTTTGACGGACTTACTATGTGTCGACAGACGTCCGTGTTTTCTGCGTACTGAGCTAGCTTTGACAAATGTCAGTCAGCTTAAGGCGATACGACTGGGTTGAAACTCACCTTCTCCAAACTCGATATAGATCTCTGGCTCGGCGGAGGGAATTGGAGATCTTCAGCTTTTTGGACCCGATTACTATGCCGATCAACAACCCATCGCCGAACTTGACTGAGGTCTTCACGAGCTAGGGAATGCGTAGATTTCAACAATTACAAAAAATGGATACGAAAGAGACTTACAGAAGTACAAAATACATTTCGAAGGCTATGTATCATATTCAAAACACATTCGAGGCCTGTGTATGCAGATTGCTTACAGCACCGTTCCTTCCAGCTCGACCTCAAATGGAAGAAACACCATCATGTGTTGAACAGCATAGTACGGACTCAATATTACACACCAGTCTCTTGATAGTAACCTACCAAAAATAAGTTTCCCTCGTATCCTTGTAGTGACAAGATAATTACCTTCAAAACTCTTGGGGATGTCATAGTGTATGATGTATCGCACATCGCCTTTGTCTATTCCCAGTCCAAACGCGATAGTAGCAACAACCTGCTTACTATAGATCAGATTCTTGTTGCAAGAGGAAAAAATGAAAAAACGCAGGAGAAACTCACGACATCTATACCACCGTTTTCAGAACCTCCGGGGATAGACCAATCTGCGAGTGTTTTGGAAAGAGTGCCGTTGCTGGGTGTGTATAATGTAGTCACTTATAACCTCAAAACGGTACTGCGACTTACGCTACATCCCGGTGGTATGGTCGAGCAGCCAACCCTTTTGACCTGAGATATCCGGACAGCGAATCGCACGTCTTCTTCGTTCTACAATAGATTATTCCGCAAGAGACTTTACCTCTCTTTCGGTGAAGATCACATATATAGTCGCATATTTCGGCCATCTTGAATAATTCATCGGAAGAAGAGGCGTACCGAACCTATAGCGAATCCGATATGAGTTCTGCGAGCGTGATGCCAGCCTTCGAATACAAACCTCATAATACAGGTTCTGTCGGTTGAACGGGTGGATAAAGAGGTCGCGGTCTGACATTCGCAGCGAACGAGTGATATCGTCTACGACGCTAGAAAAGAAACAGTAGGTCTCACTTAACCTAGTCAGCCTATAGCGAAAATTCTTACCTTGGGGTTGCAGTCGCGGTTAATGCCATTATCGGCACGTCCGGAAATTTTTGTCGGAAGGCACCTACTCGACGATATTCCACTCTAAAATCATGGCCCCATTCCTAAACATACAGACGGATAGATCAGATATATCTTTGCATTATTGTCGACTCACTGATATACAATGCGCCTGATCCTAGATTGATCATCAAACATTTGGGAAACAAAGTGAAACGAACCTCATCGACGACGAGTCTGTTTAGCTGTCCTGCCTCATAGACTATAAGAAGAAGCTTCATAAAATCCGGATTAGATAGTTTTTCGGGAGTGGCTACGAATATTACTAAGGAATTTTCGAATTCAAGGAAAATATGAACGTACTATACAGAAGGCGTGTTTCTGGATGTCCGGTCATCAAAGTTCGTCTTATCTGTACATTCGCGTGAATGAGTACTCAAGCGGCTATCTGGATTGAAAATACCCAACCTCTTCCTTTTCGACTAGAGGAGTTTCCGATGTTAACGAAGCCACGGGAATACCTTTACAGCGTAGTCCATCGACCTCTAGGAAAGCAATATTACATGAAAGATATGACACTCGGAGGTCCTTGGTACATACGATTCTTCATCAGAGCTGAGAACCACGTTTGAATGATATTAGGACCAGCGTGGAGATCGGGCTACCAAGATATTCGCACCTAGGAGCGGAGAGATGACCAAAGTCATGCCACTCTGAAATGGTCAGTTGGGATACTTTATGTGTATTTTTATGGGCATACTTCATCTGCGGCTGCCGGTATTTGGAAGCATAAACTCTATTGAGAATGCTGTCAGATGCTATTCCTCAATGAGTAGCTGAATTCGAGACGCGCTTTTCCCATTCCTGTCGGAGCCAGAACAAAAACATCTCGCCCTAGATATTATAAAAAAGCTGAAGATTGCTAGATATGGACACATGTCATAGAAATGCACCTGCCACTGCAGCCTCGATGATCTCCTTCTGCTTTCCTTTGTAGTCTGGATGGCCAAATGCTGGACCGGAAGTCTAATCATCTCACCAAAGAGGAGCAAACGGAGACATACTAGTTCTCAGGATACTGAACGTAGAATGAGATGTGCCTCAGTATCTTCGGAACTTGGATGCACGCACCGATAGCAGTTCGCTATCCCCGGTTCCATATCCGAGTGCACAGATAGGACTAAGTCAGCGTCGCGGATTGCTTTGGGTTGCTTAGTCGACGTTGAAGCCATGGACGCGTTAACGTCGGAGTCGATTAAAGCACGTGCTCAATAATCTCATCAACGTGCGCTTAAGTTTCCTGATCATGAGAATGTCGCTCATGTCAGAAACAGAGTTTTTTCCTCGTGACCATTCAGATCAATTGTAAGATATCGCATTGGGTCACAGTGTGTCACCAGAAACGTGCCATATGACCTTTCGTGAACTCCTAAGCTCCTCGAGCAAATCCAGTTTGGGGATTGGATCTAACGAATTCAAGTCTCCTTTTCTTTTCACCACCATCATCGAGCTGCAATCCTTCCTATGTTTGACGATACTAATCCCTCGAATGTCCGAACTCATATTCTCTGTTTCGATGGAACTGCTAACGAGTACGACTCGGAGGTGCACTACTGGATTTATCCTATCCATCGTGATTTTGTGTGTTTCTCATCGTTTCTCCAGAATACCAACGTTGTCAAATTTTTCGCGATTCTGAAAAAAGATAATTGTGATGATCAACGGTGCTACTATCAAGTGCGTCCGCGTTGTTGTGAGTCCATTCAGACGCCCGTTCTTACAGAGAGCAGGCAGGAATTGGTATGTCCCCTGTTCTAGCTAGGGGTGTATCCAATGCTCATGAGTACTACGTATAGGTACCTTTTTTGCTCCAGGAGTCGTTTCTCCCTTGTTTCAATGGTGCGCCAAAGTCCTCGACGAAGCATTCGCATGGTATAGCACCATCTTTATTTAGACGGTTCCTTCACATTTAAACGTGTTGCACAAATCACAGGTACTTGAACGCACACGTCATGGATGGGTATAAATTCCTGATGCAAAATTACCGTGCGGGGGACAAAATCTGTCTCTTTGGTGAGACAAAATAGCTCCATTCTACGCGCTTCTCATGATGGCGCATTTTAGGCTTCTCTCGTGGAGCATATACTGCTCGTGCATTGGCTGGAATGTTGTACAAGGTGTGTGTTATCTTCCAAAGTGACCTCCACACTTTGACGCCAATCATGCAATATACATATAGATCGGACTTTTGCCTCGCGACAATCAAGAGCAGATTCCATTTGCATACAAGCTCTACAGCCGTACGGATGACGCTGGCATCCAGTTGAGTGCTGGATTCAAGAAGACGTATTGCCGACCTGTTGAAATTGAGTTCCTCGGTGTTTGGTAGGTTTACCGCACACTTCCCCCCCTTCGAGCTTTGGCCTATCTACACTGCAGGGACACCGTAGCTTCCGTGGGTGTTATCGC